GCCCCGTCCCCGCTGCCGCTATCAGCTGGAGGAGGAGGGCTACCTTTGGAGGAACAGAACGAAGCATGTAGAACGCCCTTCTGTCATCGCGCTGTTGTCGCAGCGGTAGGGTCGTTTTTTTCTTAGCGCTTCGGACGTCGCGGATTTGCCTCCGCACTTATGTCGGCGCGGATAAGGGCATCGCGGTTTTGTGGTGGAACCAAGGAGTCTTCATCTAGGAGACTGGGGTGGATGCACAATCTAAACCAGAAGGCATTTTGGTACAATGGGCACTTACTGTATTTATCTTTCCAGTAAAAGTTTTTATTCTTTTATCTCAAAGATTTGTTTTTAAATAATAACTCGTTCTTGTATGTGTTAAACTAGGTTACTGTCAAGACCTCTTTTCTGCAGGTCCTTGGTCAGGTAAGGTATTATTTAATAGCTTATACACAATTATGTATAAGTAGATTAAGAGAAGCAAGATTTTTCAACTTAATGCAATTTGATATATTTTAATTGACCAGTTACTGTTACAGCAGCCCGTATTATTTAAGGCTTAATTGTGGCTTTCAATGTAATCATGGCTTTATAAAGCCATAAATAAAACGTATTTACTAGGTTTCTCTATGGAAGGTTTGTGCTCAATAGATTTTGATAATATTACAATTACCTTCAAACAATGAATTTGGGGTATGGATCTCCAAACAAATTTAAGCAAGGTGTCACACCCCAATATTCCTAAAGGGTTCATTCCAGCCTCCTATTTATTATTCATTACAATTCTGACATTTCGTTAGGCCCTCGTTTTACCCAGGCTGCATGCATTGCCCTCAGCAGTCCTTTGGGGATGTGTAAGGATACTCCTATGTACCTTTGGTTAGCTCCATGCAGTGCAATAGAAACTCTTAACTCTCATGCTACTATGCTGCTCCCTATATCCTATTTTATTTGAGTATATATCTTCTTAATTATTTAGATCCTATCATTGTTGTCTATTAGATATTTTATTGTATTACGCCCTTGGGGTCATAATAGACTGATTGAGGAAATAGTGTGAATAACTGATGCCTCTAGCTGCTTTTGAATATGCACATACTATCTTTTTCCAACAAAATGTATCAGCAGGTTGGGACATAATTGCCTTGCTATATTACAAATAAGCAATCATGAATTAATAGAATCCTCATTTTCTATTAAAATAAATAATGTGTGCCTGCCTCTTTTAAGGCAGAATTTAAAGTAGTTGTATAATTGCTGTAAAAAATACTATGGGAGGGAAGTGCACTAGGAAAATAATTTAAAATGGCGAATTTTTCTGAGCAAGTGTAGTAGTTACCTTTGCCACTAGATATATAAAACATCTGCTGCACCTTCTCTCATAGGAGAAAATTTTTGCATATTTAAAAGTATTTGAGTTCTGTTTAATGCAACTACTGTATATAATTGAACAATTGCGCTAATTTGAGTATGATTGAATTCTGAGTTAGCATGTTTAGGGTCATTAGGTATAGTATAATATGAGATGGTTCCTATAGTTTAATTATAGATATGTTACTTGTTTACAGGAAACATTGAAATGAAATACATACATACATACATTTACATACACACACACATACACACTTGTTGAAGTAGAAATTTTGTCACCGAGTAAAGCAATGTTGCTTTTTTAAAGTGAAAAGCATAAAGTGAAAAACACATTTCAGAAAGTTTCAGCAAGCTTGTAAAATAGTATTGTCATTGCTACAGTGAAATTTACTGTAAATTATTTAAAACCAGTTTTGTAGAGAATACTACAATATTCGAGATAATAACATTCTAAACAGATTGAAAAACTCCAATTAGCTATTTTGGAGCAGGATGGGACAGCAACAAAATGACAGCTGATATTGTCTGTTAGTGTATTAAAATTCCCAGATTAGTTTTGTTTAAATCCATCTTGCCTTAATTTAAACATTTTCCACATAAGGGGTCACATTCTAAATTCTTTAGGTACACATCCAGGGGTGGGTTTCAACCGGTTTGCAGCGGTCCCCGCAAACATACAGCGCCTGCGCGATTCTCCGCGAGCAGCTGGAGCATCGCACAAGCGCTAAGATGCATGCGTGAAGTGCACGCATGCACGAGGATGCCGCCGGCCCCGTTTCAACCGAACTGGTTGGAACGGGATAAACAACCCACCACTGTACACATATCACAGTCCATGCTTTTTAAAAANTCTTCTTGTTGAACCTTTTCTTCAATTTTTTGGATTCTATCTTCGTATTTCATCATCCAGTTTTGTATATCTACCATTTTTCCTTCTATGCTTTGATTTTGTTGCTCTAATGTCTTGATTCTTTTTTCTATACTCTCAGTCTTCTTTACAATGGTGTCTAACTTTTCATCCTTGCTATCAGCTCCTGCTTGTAGTTTCTGTATCGCTTGCATGATTACTTCTAAGGTTACTCCCTTCTCCTTTTCTTGTTGAAGCATTGACTGCCTTAATCTTTGTCCTCCTGCAGGTGAGGAGGCAGGGGTTGTTTTTGTAGAACCAACAGGTGTTGTTTTTCTACTCATCTTCTGAATTTTTCTTTTATATTCTAGTCCGGTTAATATCACAAAAATTTAAACATCAATTTATGAAGATAAGAGATTATAAATAAAGTGAGAGGAGAGAAAAAAGAAAGAGGAAAGAGGAAAGAGTGGAAATCTCTCACTTAAGAAGAAAGGTAAAGAAATAAAAAAGAGAAAAGAAAGGGAGAGGAGAAAAAAAAATATTCAGTCCAATTTACTCAAATTTTAAGGCAAGCCATCCATTTGTGTCCAATATCTTTAAAAAGAAAAGAGAGCAAAAAATAAAAATAAAAATAAAAATCAGAGATCAATACTTCAAGCCACAAAAAAAGGTGGGGGAGTCAAAAAGCCAAGGGAAAAAAAATCACCATCTCCCTAGCAAGATAATATAAGAATAATATAAGAACTGCCACAAAGCTAGAAAAAATAAATTCAGTCCCTTTTTTTTTTTAAGATAAAAGTCTTTCCAAGGTCATTCTTAGCTTTCTCTTAGCGCTTCTGTTTAGTCTAAAGTAGCTTTCCCGATACTGAATGTTCCACAGGAAACAGCTGTGTAAACAACTGTATTCCTCCACTTTCAGCCTTTAACCAAATAGCCTACAAGGGAATCGCTTCTCTCTAGTAACAATGTTTCAAGTCCACTAGATGGCAGTGTTAATTGTATCAACTCTCAATACATGGATCTTCCGTCTTTGTTTTAACTTTTCTTAAAAGAAAATCGGAAATATAACAAGAGTAGCCGAAAAAGAAATAAAAGAGAAGAGGAATCTTCAAAGCAATTAAGATTTAAATGAATTCAGTGTCCCCACAAGGTCCAAAAATAAAAGTATAAAAAAAAGCGCAGTAAGCCAATCCACATTACAATGAAAGTCCAGCCCGGCTTCCGAAAATAAAAAGGGGGGGGGGAAAAAGACTTCAGTTGGCCAACTTATATCCACCGCTTTTCTCTCTAGTCAGCCTTATTTTAAATTAAGTTTCCAAATTTAGGGTGTTCTCTTTCCAA